CCTGACTCAAGCCATGGTATTTTCAATAACCTCATATGCAGGCGAAAACTGGACAGTGAATAAGGAAGACCGTAGAAGAATTGATGCCTTTGAGTTATGCTGTTGGAGGAGAATACTAAAAGTGCCATGGGCTGCCAAAAGAACCAACAGATCTGTTTTGGAAGAAGTGTAGCCATAGTGCTCTTTATAGGCCAAGATGAGCAAACATACCAGTGGCATAGCTTCCAGCATCACAGCCACACACAAGCCACCACAGTGCTGCAAACTGACAGATGCCTGATCTGTAAATGTACCAAATTAGTTTTGAGGGTCCCTCTATGTAAATCCTATGCTAGCCATTATGAACAGTTATTGTGTAAAAATAAGCATTTGCATTTTTGTAAGTTTTGTTTATTTTTCCCACAGGGGCAGAAGAATGTAGAAGAAATAGAGAACCTCTAATATGTCCCCTTTGTAGGTCTAAATGGAGATCCCATGATTTCTACAGGTAACAGTGTTGAGTTAATGATTTGTATGTGCTTAACAAAAATAAAAATGTCCTCCAAGTGTTATTTAAAGTTATAATTTTCTTCACAAACCTCATTAATTTTTCATTGTAGCCATGAGCTGTCAAGCCCTGTGGATTCCCCTTCTTCTCTCCGAGCTGCACAGCAGCAAACCATGCAACAGCTGCCTTTACCTGGATCACAAAGAAGGAATCAAGAGAGCAATTTTAACCTCACACATTATGGAACTCAGCAGATCCCTCCTGCATATAAAGATTTAGCTGAGCCATGGATTCAGGTAAGTAGTAGTTCTTTGTTCTTCATCTCAAGGAATTATAAACCAGTCTCCCTTCCCCACCTTGAGTTATTTACAATTTAGGAAAATACTTTTGCATCGTGACTCTATTAGATAGAGCTTAAAGTAAACCTCCAGAATTCTTCATAGTCAAACCTCCCTAGAAGCATCTTTTTCTGAATTAGCAGGTTATCTAAAGAAATTGTTCCAGTATTTAATCCCCATTCCTGCTAAATCTTTTCTTGTCATAGTTCTTATTCAAACTCAGTTTCCCCTTTCTGTATAATAAGGCATATCAAAGGTACTTAATTATTGCTGAGTGGATGAATAACAAAAACGTATGTGGCATTTACCTTGTTGTAGTCATATTTATTTGAGAAACAGTTATCATTTCTTTGTCTTTTCTTCTGGTTAAATGTTTTTTCACGCTCAACAATTAGGGTTTTGCTTGATTTTAACCCCCTAAGGATTTTCTTTGTTGTTGTATCTTCAGCATTGGACTGCAAACCACAAGGTTGGCAATTTAAACCCACCAGCAGCTTCTCAGAAACCATATACAGGGTCACTATGAGTTGGAGTTGACACAACTGCATTTAATAACAACATCAAAGGATTTTCTTTGTTGGCTTTTAGTCCACTATTTAGAAAGTGTGTTATCCAAACCAGACAGCCATGTTTTTAACAAATAGTGCATATGTTAACATTTTTGTTGTCGTTACAAGCCACAAAATCCCTTCACAGATTTCCTATGAACAGTACGTCTCCAATGTTGTTGCTAAGTACCTGTATAGGGTTTCCATAGCTGTAAATCTTTACAGTTGCAGAAAGACTCATCTTTGTCCCACAGAGCTGTTGGTTTATTTGAACTTGAGACCTTGTGGTTCACAGTCCAGTGATTACCCCTCAGCACCACACCAGGGCTCCAATGATATGTAGTTAACCTGTAGTATCTAGCAGACACTTATTGTTAAGTGTCATCAGGTTGGTTTTGATTCATAGTGACCCTGTATAGAGTTTTTGAGGAGCAGCTGGTATATTTGAACCACAAACCTTATGATTAGTAGTTCTGTGCTTACCCTACAGTGCCACTCTAGGACTCTAATAGATACTAGTGAAATAAAATAATTATTTTTGAGAACCTTACCAATACTGCTAAATTTAGTTATTGTCGTCGTTATGTGCCACCAAGTTGGTGCTGGCTCATAGCGACTCATAGGGTTTCCAAGGCTATATACATCTTTGTGGGAAGTGGGAGCAGAAAGTCTCATCTTTCTCTTGCAGATTTAAAGTGGTGGTGGTTATGTGCCATGGAGTCGGTTCCGACTCATAGCGACCCTGCATAGGGTTTTTGAACTGCTGACCTTGAAGTTAGCAGCCCGACTTGTAACCACTACGGTACCAGAGCTCCTTGCAAATTTAAAGTAGCCACATTAAATTATTAGACCTGTGTATCTCACTGGGGTTAATTTCTTTTTCTTTGTGTGTGTACATATATATGTATAGGTTGTTATGTGCCGTAGAATCAGTTATATATATACTTACCCTCTCCTTTCTTCAGGGGCTCTTGTGACTTTGCAGACTTGGTGCTGATGACTAACTTAACTATAGGTATATCATTATCCTTTGGGAGCATGGTGGCTCTATAGGATAAGTACTGGACCACAAGGTCAGTGCTTTGAGCCGACCAGCCGCTGCACAGGAGAAAGATGAGGCATTTTGCTCACTCAAAGATTTACAGAAACCCTAAACAGGGTAACTATGAGTTGGAACTGACTGGACAGTACTTAACAGCAGCAGTATTCTTTGCTGATTTAGATACAAGCATTCTCTCTTAATCTTTCAATGTATCCACTCTACTCTAATCCCATCTGTTTGGTGTGTAGGGCTTTTTTTTTTTTTTCTTAACCAGTGTGTTCAAGGCAGAAATAAAATAATTCATGGTCTTTGATTTACTGCTGTCCAACTATAAGCACACTATATTTTTTCAAAGTTCTTGTTCCTTTCTTGACTTTTCTCGATTTGGGGGTTTTTATCTAGACTTTGCTCCAATTGTTTTCTCTGAAAACTACCTTAGTATGACTATAAAGTTGGGCTTCTTTTTTGTTTACAGGCAGCAGTTAGGCATGGAAATGTATGTATAGCCATCTAATTATTTAACAGAGTTCACTATTAATTTTATGTGAGATAATATAATGACTTTTGATAGCTAACCAGTTAAAACTTGAATATAAAATTTCTCCTTAATATTTTTTAAGTGGCTAGACACATTTTTTAATTGTATAGTATGAAATGTCAGGTTTTTTCTTTAGTAATCAAAAAGCAAGCTTAACTCGAACTACCCTGGATTCATTGAATTGCTGTATCTTTGATACAGGTATTTGGAATGGAACTCGTCGGCTGCTTATTTTCTAGAAACTGGAATGTAAGAGAGATGGCCCTCCGGCGTCTTTCCCATGATGTTAGCGGGGCCCTGCTGTTGGCAAATGGGGAGAGCACTGGAAATTCAGGGGGCAGCGGTGGAAGCAGCCCAAGTGCTGGGGCTACCAGTGGGTCTTCGCAGACCAGTATCTCAGGAGACGTGGTGGAGGCGTGCTGCAACATTTTGTCAATGGTCTGTGCTGACCCTGTCTACAAAGTCTACATTGCTGCTTTAGTAAGTCACTTTATTCATACCCTGATCATTGTGGGAGGGTTGCAGTGTTGTTATATATGCTGTTTATAAGACACAACACAACTACATTGTCTAATTCGATTGCAGAAAATCCATATATTACTTTTATCCCATGTTGCTGGTTGCTGTTGAGTCTTAGGTATAAGAAAACGTTCCCATTCCTTTGCCATCTGCATGATCATTGGCTTGCTCAAGCCCACTGTTGAGGCCACTGTGTATTCTGTGTGCCTTCCAACATAGGGGGCTCGTTTTCCAGTGCTACATTGGACAGAATCCTCTTGTAGTCTATGGGTTTTCATTGACTACTTTTCAAAAGTAGATTTCCAGTCTCTTCTTCCTAAATCTGGTGTGGAAGCTTGGTTGAAAACCGTCAAACGTGGGTACCAGGTGGTATTTAAAATAGTGGTGTCATAGCTTCCAGCATCATAGCAATACACATGCCACTGCACTGTGGTAAACTGACAGACAAGTGATGGCTTTAAACTGTATGTTGTTGGTAAGTACCATGGAGTCAGTTCCAGCTCATAGTGACCCTGCACAGGGTTTCTGAGGATGCAAATCTTTATAAGCAGAAAGCTTCATCTTCCTCCCACAGAACAGCTGGTAGTTTCGAACTGCTGACCCTGAGGTTAGCAGCCCGATTCATAACCACTACACTTACCGCAGCACCTTTTAAACTGTATAAACCCTGGAAATTTTATTTTTTCATTTAATGTCTTCATTTGAATTTTACTGATTTTGATCTCTGCGAATTTTGTTGTTTTTGTTTTAATTGTATTTATTGTTGAGAATATACACAGTAAAACGTAAGCCAGTTCAGCATATTTGACATGTTTATTTCAGTGACACTGATGTCATCTCTGAGTCGTACGTACATCCATTCTCACCCTCCTTGGCTGAGTTGTTCCTCCACATTAACATAAACTCATTGCACCCTAACGTTCCTCTCTCATCTCTCAGGTTGCTGCTGTCAATTTGATCCCACATGGACAGATAGTTCTTAAAAGAGCAGTGTTAAAGGCAGCCATTTTTCCTAGTTAGGCCAAACTTTTATTTCGCTTTTCAAAGACTTCAGGGGACGTTTTTGGTTTAAGGTTTAAAGATTAACTCAGGGCAATAGTTTCAGGGGTTCATCCAGTCTTCATAGCTCCAGAAAGTCTGGAGTCCATTAGAATTTGAAAGTCTGTGCATTTTTCCCCCTTTTGAGCAGGATTCCGTTATAGAATTCTTCATAAAAATGTTTACTCTATGATAATTTTCTTATGTACAGGTACTCCCCAACTTGTGATGGGGTGCCATTCCAATGACTGCTCTATCCTCAGCAATCCTAGCTTTAGTGGAATTCCTCACTTCATTGTCAGTATCTTTATCAAACCAATCTTTACTTCTCTTTGGGGGTTGATGTGAGAATAATAACATCAGCAAATTGCACACCACAACATTGTTGTTCCAACTCATACAACCCTGTATGGGTTTTCTGAAGAGCAGATGGTGGGTTTAAACTGTAACCTTTCAGTCCAGTGGTTATCCTACAGCACCACACCAGTATACTATACACATTATATGTGGTATATATTACTGATGATTAAATGTACCAGAAACACAGATGGTTTTAAGTGCTGTTCATTGTAATTTGAATATATCATAAATTGGGGACTACATGTATTGCTTACTTATCACCCGTTTAAGAGCAATGCCTTGCTGTTTATGTTGTTGTTGATGTTAAACGCAGTCCAGGTGGTTCCAACTCATAGCGACCCTGTGCAGCGTTTCCAAGGAATGGCTAGTAGGTTTGAACTGCCAACCTTATAGTTCAAACTACCTTACATTCAGGCAACATTTCATGAGATAGAAAGGTGTGATTGAATTTACTTTTAGTTGTTGGGAGTTAATACGTGGGACTACAAGGTCAGTTTGAACCATAAGGTCAGTGGGTCAAACTCACCAGCCATTCCTTGGAAACTATACAGAATTGCTATGAGTTAGAATCAACTTGATAGCACTTGATAATAGCAACATACCATAAACATTAAGGAGAATTGATTTAATAAACATTTTGCTTAACATTTAAAAAAACCTTTTTTTATTGAAATACCAGTCTTTTCAGAAGGTTCTGTGACATCAATTGCTGTGTTATCTTTCTGGTTTAACCGGTTAGACATTACCTTTCATAATTGGAATGGAATGACAAAGACACTGTTCTTTTATTAACTTTGTTTTTGTTAGGTGCCATTGAGTCGGTACCAACTCATAGCGATCCTGTGCACAACAGAACGAAACACTGCCCAGTCCTAGGCCAACCTCTCAATTGTTGCCACGCTTGAACCCATTGATGTTGCTGCTTTGCCAATCCATTTTGCTGGGGATCTTCGTCTTTTTCTTTGACCCTCCAGCTCTGGTAGCATAGTGGTTACGAATCGGTCTGCAAACCTCAGTGTCAGCAGTTCGAAACTACCAGCCATTCCACGGGAGAAAAATGAGGCTTTCTGCTCCTGTAAAGATTTACAGCCTCGGAAACCCTGTATAGGGTCACTATGAGTTGGAACCAACTCCACAGCACATAACCACCACCACTACCTCCACCTTACCAAACACAATATACTTCTCCAGCGACTGGTCCCTCGTAACAATTATGTCTGAAGTATGAGAGGTGAAGTTTGGCCATCCTGGCCTCCAAGGAGCACTCTGGCTGCACTTCTTCCAACACAGATCTGTTGGTTCTTTTGTCCACCCATGGCACTTTCAATATTCTCCTTCAACACCATAACTTAAAAGCGTCAGTTCTTCTAAAGTCTTCCTTATTCACTGTCCAGCTTTCGCATGCATAATGAGATTATTGAAAATACCATGGCTTGGCATACTTTAGTCCTCCTCAAGCTGACATCTTTGCTCTTCAACACTTTTAAAAAGGTCTTGTGCAGCAGATTTGCCTAATGCATACATCATCTTTCATGAGTGTTGATGGTTGATCCAAGAAAAATGAAGTCTTTGGCGAAGTCAATCTTTCTCCATTGATAAGAATGTTGTTTATTTGTCTTACTGGTCCAGTGGTGAGGATTTTTGTTTTCTTTACATTGAGATGCAATCCATACCGAAGGCTTTGGTCTTTAATCTTAGTAACTTTGGCGACTAGATTTTGCTTTCTGTTTACTGAGAGAGAAAGTTTTGGCACTATTGGCCTTGGGCCAGATAATTATTTGTCTTGGGGTCAAGATGATACTGTCCTGTGCATTATAGGACACTTAACAGCATCCGTGTCCCTCTACCTACTAGATGCCCTCAGTAACAACACCCTCAAGTCATGACAAACATTAATGTCTCCAGGCATTGCCACATGTCCCTTGGGAGACCTTAATTATTCCCATTAATTTTAGCATCCATTTATATGATTCATTCATGCCCTTCATTTAGAAGACTTCTTTCCTAGTCTATTGTGAAAACTCATTGGTTGCTCTGCTTTCACTCTCAACCTTTTTGTAATCATTCCTGTAACAACTGTGCCTAATGAACCTTCTTGACAGGTTTGCTGTTGTAATAGCCAGTCTGTTCTGTCCCGTACTGACCCGGTATAGGGTCTCTGAGGAGTGACTGGTAAGCATGAACCACCGACCTTATGCTTATGACATGTGTTACCACTTGAGGAAAGTTACTTAAGTTCTCTCAAAACTTAATTTTCTCACCAGTAAAATGATGAAAATATTTAACTCCTAGATTTGAAATGAGATTGTGTCACAATGTCTAACTGTGGTCTGGCACATTGATTAAGAACATTGACTATGTCATAGCCATTGTTATTATTCAGAGTCCCAAAAGGTTAGCTTCTTAACATAACCACAGTACAGTTATCCAAATCAACAGGACATTAATGCTGAAATAGTACAGTTACCTAATTTACAGATACTCGCATTATATCCTTTGTCTCAGTAATGTTCTTTTTCTGATCCACTATTTACTGCAGGATCATTGTATTGTCCTATGTCGTACAGTCTCCTTAAATCTAGAACAGTTTCTCAGTCTTTGTTTGTCTTTTATGAATTTGATACTTGTGAAGAATAGTGACCTGTTGTTTTGTAGAATCGCCCTCAGTTTGGATTTGTGTGGTGCGTCCTCATGGTTGATCTCAGAATCTGTGGTATTTTGGGGGAGGAAGACCGTCACAGAGTTGATGTTATGTCCTTCTCATTGCATCCTCTCAGGAGGTGCCTGAGCTTGAAGGATTTGTCTTCTTACCAGGGATGTGAGCTTTCACCAGTTGGTTAAAATGTGTCTGAGGGTTTTTCACTGTAACTTTAATTCATATAATTAAAGAAGATGGCTTGTGATGAGATACTTGGAAACTTTGTAAATACCTAGTTTTCGACCTTAATTATTCCCATTAATTTTAGCATCCATTTTTTTTTATTACATCTATATTTGTTAGTTGGAATTCTAATGTAGGGAAAAATTCATTTGCATTCCATACATTTATGAGAGGGCTTCAAAAAGTTAATGAAAAATTTTTAATTAAAAGATAATAGAATTCTAATTATTTGGGTCATGAATTCTTGTTTTATTCATGGTTATAATTGTTCCTATCATTATTATTAAGGAGCTCTGGTAATGTAGTGGTTACGAATCGGGCTGCTAACCTCAGGGTCAGCAGTTTGAAACTACCAGCTGTTCCATGGGAGAAAGATGAGGCTTTCTGCTCCCATAAAGATTTACAGCCTGGGAAACCCCGTACAGGGTCGCTATGAGTCAGAACCGACTCCACGGCACATAACAACAACATTATTATTATTATTATTTTGATGCTCAAGTTATCAAATATTTTTAAATGTAGTTGAACTGACCTTCAATTTGTTTCTCCCCAGAAAACATTAAGAGCCATGCTGGTATATACTCCTTGCCACAGTTTGGCAGAAAGAATCAAACTGCAGAGACTTCTCCAACCAGTTGTAGACACGATTCTAGTCAAGTGTGCAGATGCCAATAGGTAAGGATTTATTGATGAACTTCTTCAGATCATATTGTTTTAAAAGTGCCTCGCACAGAACCTCATACCTGTTGAGAGTTTTAAATGTGTATTAAATGAGTGAGCATTGTTTTCTTATGTGAAGCATTAGAAGTGAAACTGTAGTACTTAAAGATCTTAATTGAGGATAGAGAGAAGAAAGTACATAACAAACTGCATGGACCTCCACATTGCTATTATATATTGTGATTGATGCTTTCCTGTTTCATAATCTGAAGTCTAGTTAAGAAGAATAAGAGCTGGCATGTATGTGTATAATAGTGGTATAATCACGTTTTACAGAATAAAATCATCAAAATAATTGCACCTACTTATTATTATGGAAGACTTCCGGTGTGGCACTGTGGATCAACACTGAACTGCAAACCACAGGGTCGGCAGTTCAAACCCACCAGCTGTACTTCGGAGACCCTAAGCAGGTCACTATGAGTTGGAACCAATTCAATGGCACTTAACAAAACAACAATAACATTATTAATGGAGGCTCTGGTGTAGCACTATAGGATAAGCACTGGATTGCAAGGTTGGTTTGAACTCCGGGGTCGGCGGTTCATACTTACCAGCCAGTCCTTGGTAACACTATGCAGGGTTGCTATGAGTTGGAACAGACTCAATGACACTGAACTACAACAACATACCTTATTGTCAGAACCAAAACAAAAAACCCTGTTCAATTATTTTCTTTGTAATGGAATTATTCTTGTTATAACAGTTTTTTGTCAAACAGCAACAACGCATTCTGTATATCCTTGAGGATCCTTAAAAATTGAGAGCTTAGGGGATTTGAAGTGCAGTGACTTGTAAAAGGAGGAGCGTAAGCCATGCTCTTATTACCTAGTGGTTCTCTTTTATGTTCCTCTAACACAAAATGCGGGGCACCATTTCATTTAATAAGCATAATTACCAAGAGTTAAAAGGTAGGAGCAACCCAGTTGTCCCATCAACTGATGAATGGATAAACAAAATGTGGTATATATATCCACAGTGGAATATTCAGCCGTAAAGAGAAGTGAAGGTCTGATACTTGCTACAGTATAGATGAACCTTAAAAACATTATGCTGAGTAAAGTAAATTAGGCAAAAAAAAAAGACAAATATTATACGATCCCTTATATGAAATATCTAAAATAGGCAAAAACATTGAGACAAAAACAGATTAATGGTTGGGGTGAGACTAAGAAATTTTAGGCAAATCACTATTTTCACATACTAGGGGAGTAAAAAAGCATAACCACAGTAAACAGTTGTTTGTTAGTTCCCATTTCTCTACATCCTAGCAGATCTCAGATGATTAAGAAGAGTCGCATCCCCCTGGGTTGGCCTCTACCATTACACCATTCAGAGCTCTTCAGTCCAGCCTTTTTTCTTCCTCCCCAAACCATGAAGCATTGTTAATAGAGGGCCTTTAATTTGCTGTGTCTTATTTTTGAAGTCTGTCTTTTACACTCCATTGTTTTCTCTACACAAACCTGCAGATTGGAAGTATTAGAGGTCCTCTTGTTGCTTAAAGAGAATGTTGTAGTATCTAAGAACATGGAAAAACTTAGCAAATAATTTATAAGATGCAAGAGAAAAATCATGCTGTTTTTCAATATTAGAGAACACATTTTTCTGTTATGGCATTTGTTTTGTAGTTGTCAATGCACTGACATTCTCAACTTAGGTTGCTTACTAGGTTACTTGAATTACTGAGCACACTAAAACTACTACATTTTTATGATATTTGGACCTCATTTTGTCTATATAAGTGAATGTAAACGTTCTTTGAATTGTTAAATGCCTTCAAGTCAGTTCCAACTCATAGTGACCCTATATAGGGTTTCTGAGGAGTGGCTGGTAAATTTGAACTACTGACCTTGAAGTTAAAACTGACCTTGCAACTTCAAAATTTACTACACAGCTACTGTGGTCAAAACAGCTTGGTACTGGTACAATGCTCAATGGAACAGAATCCGGAAATTAACCCATCTATATACAGCCAACTGATTTTTGACAAAATACCTAAATATATCGCATGGGGAAGTAATAGTCTCTTCAACAGATGGCGCTGGCAGAACTGGAAAGCGATATGCAAAAGATTGAAACAAGACCTTCACCTCACGCCTTATACAAAAACCAACTCAACATAGATTAAAGAGCTAAATGTCAATCCCAGAAATATGAAGGCCATCAATGAAAAAATAGGGACAAATGTGAGGGCACTAATTCAGGGAATACACAGACTACAAAACATTTTGAAAAGTACACAAACAAAAGTAGACAAAATAGATGAGTGGAGCATACCAAAAATTAAAAACTTATGTGCATCAAAAGACTTCACCAAAAGAGTAAAAAGGGAACCCACAGAATGGGAAAAAATCTTTTGCAATGACACATCAGACAAGGGACTTATTTCTAAAATATATAGGAAACTACAACACCTTTACAAGAAAAAGACAAATAACCTAATTAAAAAAGGCACAGGACATGAACAGACACTCCACCTAGGAGGAGATCCAGGAAGCCAACAAACATATGAGGAAATATTCACGATCACTAGCCATTAGAGAGATGCAAATCAAAACAACAATAAGATATCTCACACCAGCAACAACAGGAAAGATCAGAAAAGTAGAGGACAATAAATGCTGGCAGGGATGTGGAGAGACTGGGATGCTCCTACATTGCTGGTGGGACTGCAAAATGGTCCAACCTCTCTGGAAAGCAATATGGCGCTTCCGTAGAAGGTTGGAAATAGAAATATCTTATGATCCAGCAATTCCTCTACTTGGTATTTACCAACAGAAATGCAAGCCATAACAGGAGTAGATATATGCACACCAATGTTCGTAGCAGCACTATTTACAATAAATAGCAAAAAGATGGAGACAGCCAAAGTGCCCATCAACTGAAGGATGGATAAACAAACTGGTACGTACACACAATGGCAAGCTATGCTACCTTGAAGAATAACAAGGAGGACCCAACTCCCTGAGGCTGGTTGTACAGGTGCTCAAATTGTCCACGCAGCGCCAAATCATGTCTGAACCAATCAGAGTCCTTGTGACTGGAGCAGCTGGTCAAATTGCATATTCACTGCGGGTACAGTATTGGAAATAGTGGTATCTTTGGGAAAGACCAGCCCCTGATTTTTATGCTGTTACATATCACCCCCACGACGAGTGTCCTGGAAGGCGTCCTAATGGAACTGCAAGACTGTGCACTTCCCCTCCTGAAAAATAACACTGCAACAGATAAGGCAGAAGTTGCCTTCAAAGACCTGGATGTGGCAATTCTCATGGGTTCCATGCCATGAAGGGAGGGCATGGAGAGGAAAGACTTACTAAAAGCAAATGTGAAAATCTTCAACTCCAGGGTACAACCTTGGATAAATATGCCAAGAAGTCAGTTACGGTTATCATTGTGGGAAACCCCGCCAATACCCGCTGCCTGACTGCCATAAAGTCAGCTCCGTCTATCCCCAAGAACTTCAGCTGCTTGACTCGTCTAGATCATAACCGAGCTATGGCTCAAATTGCACTAAAACTTGGTATGACTACTAAAGACATAAGGAATGTCATCATCTGGGGAAACCATTCCTCAACTCAATATCCAGGTGTCAACCCTGCCAAGGGTGAAATTTCAAGGAAAAGAAGTTGGTGTTTATGAAGCTCTGAAAAATGACAGCTGGCTCCAGGGAGAATTCATCTCGACTGTGTGCAGCGTGGTGCCACTGTCATCAAGGCTTGAAAACTGTCCAGTGCAATGTCTGCTGCGAAAGCCATCAGAGACCACATCAGAGACATCTGGGTTAGAACCCCAGAGGGAGAGTTAGTGTCCATGGGTGTAATCTCTGATGGCAACTCCTACTGTATTCCCGAGGATCTGCTCTACTCATTCCCTGTTGTAATCAAGAATAAGACCGGGAAGATTGTTGAGGGTCTCCCTGTTAATGATTTCTCATGTGAGAAGATGGATCTTACTGCAAAGGAACTGACAGAAGAAAAAGAAACTGCTTTTGAGTTTCTTCCCTCTGCCTAACTAGACAATCATTTTAATGCTACTAAATGCCCAAAAGCCAAAAAATCTAAATTTTGTCTTTGACTAATATCAAATAACATTAATGCTATACTTAAATTATTTGTGAAAAACAACACATTTCAAGGATTATGTGCTTCTTGGTACAAATTTGTGACAGTTTATCATCATGGTGTTAGTGCTGCATTCTAAATAAAAATACATATTCAATTAAAAGAATAACAAGGAGGTTGCAAGCCAACACATAACATGGATGAACCTTGAGGACATAATGTTGAGTGAAATTAGTCAGTCACAAAAGGAGAAATACTGCATAGGACCACTAATGTGAAAGACTAAGAAAAAGAATTCATACTAAGGGGAGGAGGGGGGTGTAATTCTATGCTGGTTGCTGGGATGTAGGGGGTGGGCAGAGGGGAGGGAGGGGAAGATGGAGCACAGGGCAGGGAATAGACACAGGATAGTTTGGGTGTAGGGAGGGGGGCAATATACAAGAAGGGGGAGGGGAATGGAAGAACAAAGTGGATGGGAGAACAGTTAGGCAGGTTTGCATGGGCTAAGTGGGACAGAGGTAAATAATGATGTATGCACAACCTTGAAACAACAGGACTCTGGGATACAGAGATTGAGACATGGTTGGAATGGGGAAAAGGGGGGAAATGTTAAGATACTTGGCTGTCTTTTGAATCTTGGTTTCCCTTGTATACCATTATAAAATAGACACTTAAGGGGAGAGAGAAAGGAATAGCCAGAAATATCACCATAGAAAGCTTATAAGTCCGTTTCTGCCTATAACTGATTGGAATGCCTAAAATGGGTCTACAGCATGCCCAGTGAAGGAGGCTTCCTGTGGAGCCTCTGCATTACATAACACTATAAGTGGAATCCTGATCAGCATTCAGAATCTTCAGAGGAGGAAAATTTCCACTTCAAAGGACGGGCAGACCAGCCTGGAGCAGCTAGAAGAACAGAAGATACTTCTTGAAAGAAAGACCGACAGGAAAAATACAAAACAATATAGGCAAACCAACTGATTACTACAAAAACCAGCAAGTTGCTCGCCCAGGAAACATCAAGGCCAAGTGGTCAGTTCCCCTCAGAGCAAACTCCCCTTCCAAGACTAAGACTCAATGGGAATACATGCTGTGATTGTTGACCACATTCATCACCGATAAGGGGAAGTGAGGGAAAAACAGCAATGAAGCTGTGAGCTTAAGCCCTACAACGTTCAATAGACTCCTTTGAACCCAGGTGAAGACCTGGTTGGCCAACAGTGTGGCAAGACCTGGGGACTCTTGGGCCCAGAGTCAGTGACATAGCCACAGAGGACTAGAGTGGAGAGTAAAGTGTCCCGCTGATAAGAAGAGATGGCATATGCACAAGAACACCCACACTTTCAGATAATAATATACCCACTTGACCTGGCTTCAATGACTGGATGATCAGAGCTCAACTAGAAGAAGAAAGAAGTTGAAAAAAAGAGTAATCTGATACAACTTGATGAAATTGACCTATACCTATGGATGCAGTAGCTCAAAAGAGGGAACAAATCTTTACAGCAAAGATCATTCCCACTCTCTCCATACACAGAGTAGACAAGGATGGGCAACTTGGACGTTGACTACCCAAAGTGGGTGGCTACAAAGGCGAGAAGTGACTGGCTTACAAGCTTTCGAGAGGGAACCTAGATCCAGAGGGCGTGGAGGAAGGTAGAGTCTCCACTGAGTAGTATCCAGTCTGTCTAGGTGGGGCTGATGAAAGAAAATGCAGATAGGTCTCTTGTGATACAATAGTGAATAATTATTATCAGGACTGCTTGTGAGGGTTGGAAATTTAAAGGTAGATGCTTTGTAGCAAGGAGGGTAGTGTTTAACTTTGCAGTCTAGGAGCGGAGGTTCCTGGGTCCATTAAGGGAGAAGAGTGGAGAGCAGGACCCTACCCAGAGAAGCAGTGAAGCCAGAGATGGAGGCAGAGATGATGACGTAGAGTGATGGAGCAGCTGGGGACTTTAGACCCAGAGAGGGAGAGGGGCTGTGTGCTGACAACCGGGGGGCAGGCTTGTAGTGTATACCCTTTGGTTGGTTGGTGATGCATGGAGGGATTGTAACCATGACAGTGAAGCGATATACGGTAAGATGAATGTAAAGCTAATGTTCTCCCATGTAAACTATCACATAATTCACAATAAAACATTAAAAAAAAAACAAAAAAAAACTGACCTTGCGATCTAGTGTTTTATCCCACAAAGCCACACTGTTTTAATTCAAGAAATTCTTAGTGAAAATTCAGAAATCAAATTGTCTGGATTTATTCTTTTTTTGCAAGTTGTATATAGTAATGAAAATTAGCCTTTATTCTGAGTTGATATTCAAATCTAGCTGTCTAAGAGCCTGTATTGAAGATTTTGTGCTTAACATAGAAAATAAGCTAACTTTTTAAAAATTGGAACTAATACTACAGTTAGTGCCATCATTAATGTGATTTTAGTAGTGGAAAAGTACACACTCCTGCAAATACTTTCGCCCCACCAAAGTCTCAAGCCATTACATTGCTTTCTTCCAGTTGATGTATATTTTATCCAGGATGCAGGACTGATGCTGATTTCCTCTCATTTTCAGCCGCACAAGTCAGCTGTCCATATCAACACTGTTGGAATTGTGCAAAGGTCAAGCAGGAGAGTTGGCAGTTGGTAGAGAAATACTTAAAGCTGGTAATGACTTTTTACCTAAAACTAATGTAGTATGTTTTACATTGTTTTTCTTAGCAGACTTTCTAATCTCAGAATTTCTCATGGAGCAGTTACAGGATTTTCAAATAATTGTAGATAATTTGTAAATTGAGTTGGTCGGTTATTGTTAGAAATATGAATTATTCTAAGAGAAATTCTCAAAACTAATATACTTTAGAGTATTTTTGTTGGCCATGTGTTCGTGTTTTGTTTTCATCCTTAATATTGCTACTCTTCAGTTGCTTATTCTTGCTTTCCTTTCCTGCAAGGATCCATTGGTATTGGTGGTGTTGATTATGTCTTAAATTGTATTCTTGGAAACCAAACGGAATCAAACAACTGGCAAGACCTCCTGGGCCGGCTCTGTCTTATAGACAGACTGTTGTTGGAATTTCCTGCTGAGTTTTACCCTCATATCGTCAGTAATGATGTTTCACAAGTTGAGCCTGTTGAAGTCAGGTAAGTTTTCCTCTGAACATATATTGCTGTCCTCTTCCTACCCAACCCCCACAAGAAGAACATACTTTAGATTTGTGAAAGACTTAAAAATTGCAGAGCAAAAAATGTAGGTGACTAGAGCCTGTAATACTTGATTGAAATAAAAATCTGAAGTCTAAGTTACTTAATAAAAATTTTCAGGTCCTTTGTACTAAAAATGAGTTTTCAAGTGTACAAACTGTAAATTAGTACCTTTTTAATTTTTTTTTTCAAGTGCTCAGTTTTGTTTTGTTTTTTTAGATAATAGGGTGTTTCCTTCCATTGAGAACTTACAGAGCACTCTCACTGAGCATCCTCATGTCCTCACAATGTTCATTCTGCTGACTCCACTGAGTTGGCTTATATTTCATAGTGATTGGAGCTTGTCCGGTAATTGAATGTGTTCTTTCTTCCAGGTATAAGAAGCTGCTGTCCCTCTTAACCTTTGCTCTGCAGTCCATTGATAATTCTCACTCAATGGTTGGTAAACTCTCCCGAAGGATCTTTTTGAGTTCTGCAAGAATGGTGACTGCAGTACCCCATGTGTTTTCAAAACTGTTAGAAATGTTGAGCGTTTCCAGTTCCACTCACTTTACTAGGATGCGTCGGCGTCTGATGGCCATCGCAGATGAGGTGGAGATTGCTGAGGCCATCCAGCTGGGCGTAGAAGACACCTTGGATAGTCGGCAGGACAGCATTTTGCAGGCATCTACCCTGAACAGTTATCCAGAAACCACAGAGAATAGTTCCCATCCAGAGAAAACTGGAACGGGATTGTCTGCTACAAAATTGAGTGCCAGTTCAGAGGACATTTCTGACAGACTGGCCGGCATTTCAGTAGGACTTCCTAGTTCTGCAACAACAGAGCAACCAAAGCCAGTGGTTCAAACAAAAGGCAGGCCCCACAGTCAGTGTTTGAACTCATCTCCTTTATCTCACCATTCCCAATTAATGTTTCCAGCCCTGTCAAGCCCGTCGTCCTCTGCCCCATCTGTACCAGCTGGCCCTGTAACAGATGTCTCTAAGCATAGACCTCAGGGATTTATTCCCTGTAAAATACCTTCTGCATCTCCTCAAACCCAGCGTAAGTTTTCTCTACAGTACCAGAGAATCTGCTCTGACAACAAAGACTCAGACAAACTTTCCCCAATCTTTACTCAGTCAAGACCCATGCCCTGCAATAGTATACACAGGCCAAAGCCATCTCGACCTACCCCAGGTAACACAAGTAAACAGGGAGATACTTCAAAAAATAGCATGACACTCGATCTGAACAATATGTCCAAATGCGATGACAGCTTCGGCAGTAGCAGCAATAATAGTAATGCTGTTATACCCAGTGATGAGACAGTGTTCACACCAGTCGAGGAAAAATGCAGATTAGATGTCAATACAGAACTCAACTCCAGTATTGAGGACCTTCTTGAAGCATCCATGCCTTCAAGTGACACAACAGTAACTTTTAAGTCAGAAGTTGCTGTCCTCTCTCCTGAAAAGGCTGAAAATGATGATACCTACAAAGATGATGTGAATCATAATCAGAAATGCAAAGAGAAGATGGAAGCGGAAGAAGAAGAAGCTTTAGCAATTGCCATGGCAATGTCAGCGTCTCAGGATGCCCTCCCCTCAGTTCCTCAACTGCAGGTTGAAAACGGAGAAGATATCATCATCATTCAGCAGGACGTAAGTATATATAGAGTGTTTAAAAGGTTAAAGTTTTCTTCGATCTTGTTCAATCTAATTCAGAAATACTGCTTTTAACATGAATTTATTGTTGAAAGCAGGTTTTTCTCATAGAGTTTCTAATTATACAGTAGTGCATGTATCATTGATTGTGCCAGAAGTATTTCCTTGGCTATTTGAAGACATTTTTGGTTGATTATTTAATAGTGATTTCATCTGCCATTGACATTGATCACCAACACTGTCAAGTCAGAGGTCAAATTTAGAGGTGGTTTGAGTAGCTAGAATGTAAAACCAGCTGTATTTTTCCAAGGCTGATTTCACAAAATCTAACTTAATAGTAAAAAGATTGCTTTTATCTAATATACAGACACCAGAGACTCTGCCAGGACATACCAAAGCAAAGCAGCCTTACAGAGAAGACACGGAGTGGCTGAAAGGCCAGCAGATAGGCCTGGGAGCATTTTCATCCTGCTACCAGGCCCAAGATGTGGGAACTGGGACTTTAATGGCTGTCAAGCAGGTAACGATCTAAGAAGCATATAAATGAATGATTAAAATTATCAATTAAAACATGAGCAGCTAAGAAGAATGAAAGATATGTCTATGTCATCATATACTGTAGTTGTTTAAACTTTGAGGAACCTAACTTCAAAGAAGGTATTACCAATGCTCCAGAAACATCCTGAGTTCTATTGCTGTTGAAAGTTGAAGATGCAGTATCGAGATAGGCCTTATAAAAGCATTGTTGTTCCCTTTTATAGTTAATAGAGGTATGATTTCATACTCCTAGCAGTATGGTACAGGTGTAGTACCATCTTGGGATTTCTGTGGTTTACTTTTTATAGTGAGCATGCATACGAAAATGATAGAGCTTCCTCTTTCAGATCATGTTTGTTCTTGTTCTGTGATTCGGCTTCTCTCATTTTTTATTCTTTCCTCAGAAAGTTGGAATACTGGTTATATCCCAGTTTGGGTTATTTTTCTGACATTACACTGCTGCTTATTCAAAATCCTTATTAAAAGAGTCTGACTTGACTTAACATATACCATGCCCATGAGCATGAAAGTTTTCTGCTAATTAATGTACAAACTAATTGGTATTTGTCTGTTTTAGATGAGATTGTTAATGAAAATTGTGAAAAGGAACTCATCAGAATCCAAAACATTTCTGTAAACTTGTTTGTTTGAAACAGGTGACGTATGTCAGAAATACATCTGCTGAGCAAGAGGAGGTAGTGGAAGCGTTAAGAGAAGAAATAAGAATGATGAGTCATCTGAATCACCCCAACATCATTAGGATGTTAGGAGCCACATGTGAGAAGAGCAATTACAATCTCTTCATTGAATGGATGGCAGGTATGCTCATGTGTTACATTATAAATAATAACGATATAGTTTCATGAACACTTATTTCGTACCTTTATTAGTTAGGGTTTCTAAAAACAAATTGCCCCCAATATATTAGTTTGAAAATCAAAAACAAAACAAACCCACTGCCATCAAGTTGATTGATTCCATCTCACAGCAACCCTTTGTAGGTTTCTGAGGCTCTCAATCGTTAGGGGAGTAGAAAGCTTCCTCTTTTTCCCATTGAGCAGCTGGTGGGTTTGAACCGCTGACCTTGCAGTTACCCCATTATGTAGCTTGGACTTTTTATATTAGTATGAATATGTACTAAATTATCTTGTGCTTTGCCTTCCATTTAAATATATTTGCTAACTACCTTTTAATTATTTCCAGTGCTGCTTTTGGAGTGGTTATATGATATTGTTTCATAAGAACAATTTTTTAAAACCTATGTGACTGTAGTAGTTACGAATCGGGCTGCGAACCGCAAGGTCAGCAGTTCGAAACTACCAGCTGTTCCGCGGGAGAAAGATGAGGCTTTCTGCTCCCATAAAGATTTACAGCCTCAGAAACCCTGTACAGGGTTGCTATGAGTCAGAACTGACTCCACAGCACACAACAACAACAACAGTGTGACTGTAGAGGATAAGCACTGAACTGTGAACCTCAAGGTCAGTGGTACAAGCCCACCAGCTGCTACATGGAGAAAAATGAGGCTTTCTACTTCCGCAAAGATTTATAGCCTCAGAAACCCTATGCAAGGTCACTATGATTCGGAAACAACTTAATGGCACTTAACAACAATAATAAGACCTAGGGGCTCTGATGGAGCAGTGAGTACACATGTAGCTGCTAACTAATGGTTGGCAGTTCGAATTCACCAGCATTTTCACTGGAAAAAGATGTGACCATCTCTACTACTGTTAAGATTACAGCCCTGGAAACCCTATGAGGCAGTTCTATTCTGTTCTGTAGGGTCACTGTGAGTAGAAAACTACTTAATAGTAACAGGGTTTTTTTTCAACTTTTTATTGTGAATTGAGTGAAGGTTTACAGAACAGATAACCAGCTTTATAGTCAACAAATTTTATACTTTGCTCATTACATGGTTGCAATCCCTTCCATGTACCAACAGTTAACGACATTTACCTCTACTCACTTTAACTATTGTATTCCCCCATGTCTCCCACTACCTTCATCTTTCCTCTGCTAACCTCCCTCTTGTTGTACATTGCCTGCCCTGTCACCCATGTTAATATGTGTCTACCCTCTAACCTGTGAAAAAAATTCCCCTCTCCCCCAGTGTAACCATTATAGTTTCTTTTATCAAGAAAACTTTTTTTCTTTGCTTTTTGCAACATTGGTCTCATACAATATTTTTCCTTTTGTGATTGACTAATTTCACTTAGATCCATATTTATGTCCATTCCAAAGACACGTGAGTCAATGGAATGCCGAAATCATTGGACAACATCAGTAATATCTCATGCAAGTAAAATTTTGCTAAAGATAATCCCAAAACGGTTGCAAGTGTACATTGACAGAGAACTGCCAGAGGTTCGAACCAGATTCAGAAGAGGACATAGAACGATGGATATCATTGCTGATGTCCGATGGATCTTGGCTGAAAGCAGAGAATACCAGAAAGATATTTACCGGTGCTTTATTGACTATGCAAAGGCTTGCAATTGTGTGGATCATGACAAGCTCTGGACAACTTTGTGGAGATTGAATATTCCAGAATACTTAATTGTGCTCATGAGGAATCTCTACATGGACCAAGAGACAGTTGTTTGAACAGAACAAGGGAACACCACTAAATGGTTTAAAATTAGCAAAGGTGTGTGCCAAGGTTGTATTCTTTCACCATATTTATTCAATCTTTATGCTGAGTACATAATCCGAGAAGCTGGAGTATATAAAGAAAAATGTGGCATCAGGATTGGAGGAAGACTCATTAACAACTTGTTATATACAGATGATACAACCTTGCTTGCTTAATGTGTCAAGAGGACTTAAAATACTTACGCAGGAAGATCAAAGAGCACAGCCTTCAGTATGGATTGCACCTCAATGTAAAGAAAAGAAAAAGCCCCACCACTGGACCAGTAAACATCCATATAAATGGAAAAAAGATTGACGTTGTCAAAGACTTTCTTTTGCTCAGATCAACCATCAGCACTCATGGAAGAAGCAGTCAAGAAATTAAATAATGTGTTGCATTAGGCAAATCTGCTGCACAAAACATCTTTGAAGTGTTCAAGAGCAAAGATGTTAGTTTGAGAACTAAGATGCACCTGACACAAGCCAAGGTATTTTCATTAACCTCATATACGTGTAAAACTTGGACAATAAATGAGGAAAGCCATAGAAAGCATTTGAGTTATGGTGTTGGAGGAGAATAATAAAAGTACCATGGACTTCCAGAAGAACAAACAAGTCTGTGTTGGAAGAATTACAGCTAGGATGGCCAGACTTGTCTCTCATACTTTAGACACATTGTCAGGAGTAAGCAGTTCCTGCAGAAGGATACCATGTTTGGTAAAGTGGAGTGTCAGAGAAAAAGAGGAAGACCCGCAATGATTGTGAGGTTGCCCAGGATGTTTCCTTCTGTTGTGCATAGAGTCCCTATGGATCAGTACTGATTCGATGGCAACTAACAACCATTTCACTCAGCATAATGTCCTCTGAGTTCAACCATGTTGTGAGGTGTTTCACAGATTCATCATTATTCTTCAACGTTTTGTAGTATTCCATTGTGTGTATGTGCCAATGTTTGTTTAGCCGTTCTTCTTTTGATTGGTATTTAGGCTGTCTCCATCTTTTTGATATGTGTATTGTAGACAGCGTATTGAAGGATCTTGTTTTCTTATCCATTCTGCTCTCTATTATATCTTTTTCTTTTTCCCCCCTCATTCTGAAACTAAGCATACTTATGAAACTTGTAAGCCAACCACTTGTAAGCCATTGTCTAAATTTCTCAGCCCTATTAACCCAGTACAAGGAGCTCTGGTAGCGTAGTGGTTACAAATCGGGCTGCGAGCCACAAGGTCAGCAGTTCAAAACTACCAGCGGTTCCGCGGGAGAAAGATGAGGCGGTCTGCTTCCGTAAAGATTTACAGCCTCGGAAACCCTGTGTAGGGTCGCTGTGAGTCGGAACCGACTCCACGGCACATAACAACAACAACAACATTAACCCAGTACATGGAGGATACAAACAAGGTTGTTCCTTAATATGATGAATCGTTCCATTCCAGTTGGAATTTTGAGTCACTGCATTCATAACGCAAAAGTCTAGTTCATCAAACTGCAACAGTTTGCCCTTGTTCTCAGTATCAAACTTCTGTATCTTCCTTGGTTCATGTTCTGGTCAACTAGCCATCTAGGCTAGGTCAAATGAGTGCTAGCTTTAAGTTTGGGAGTTTACACAGACCTCCCCGTACTTCAGACCAGTTTGCCACTTCACTCTTAGCCCTATCCCCCAGGGACTAGGTTGGTGGCAACAGGGTTTTATGTATTATAAGACTCACATTTTCCTGGTGGTTATCATTAGACAGATTTATTCGATTTTTTTTAATGTGGTAATATTAAAAATGTTGATATATATTAGAAAAACTTACTGCAAATAGTCCTGGTGTGGCACTGTGAGTTAATGCTCCAGACTGCAAAGCCATTTGAACTGCAAGGTTGACAGTTTAAACTCAGCATCTGCTCCTTGGAAACCCTATACAGAGTTGCTATGGGTCGGAATCGACTCAACAACACTTAAGAACAACAACAACATTACAAATCAACTATCACTGAAGTTTAAAGCTGAGCCTTATTATCTACTTGAACAAATCAAGTTTGAACTGCTTTGTACCATAAAATGGTAGATAGTAATATTAATGACTTGATACGTGATGAGTGCTTGATTTAACGTCATTTTCTTTTTTTTTTTTTTTTTTGTATTTGAAGAGTGAATTTCTGTTTGCAAACCAATTGTTGCTTGCATTATCTGATATTGATTCTCATAAGCATGTACAGGGTGGACAGGCTAAGTATTACCACCACTGGTTATATCTGAGACTGATTGAATGCAGCATTTGTTCCAGGTCAGAGCTAGTAGCTGGCAGGATGCAGAGCCTGATGCAACATCTTCCAGCTGCTCCTCCCATGCACTTCACCTTTTGCTAAATAACACATGTTGACACTGCTTACTCAAGTCATTAAGTGTGTTGGGTATTTTGATGAAGAAGACAGAAAGATGAATTGTACATTTCAAAAAAAGTTCCAGGTGCTTTTGGGATAAGATGGCAGAGTAGACAGGCACACTGAGCAGATCCTCTATAATAAAGTGAAACAGATACAGCCGGGGCTCGTAGAACCCTGAGCCTCAGAGGAGAGGACAGAGAGGTGGCCTGAGTGCCAGCTGGAAGAGGAAGAGGGACAAGAACAGGAGCAGTGAGAGAAGAAAAACTGGCAGACCTAAGTTGGCATGGAATTGCGTGGCCATCTTGAGCTTTTGCCAGTGGCTGTTAATACAGCAGCCTGTAGGCACAGGACGAGGCTGGAGGTTGGTGCCAGGGGGTGCAATTCTCCTTTGTTCCTGTGCCCTCCTGGTAGCTGGGGGAGTGGCCAGTCCCCGCCTGGGCTGACCCAGCAGCCAGTGGCTCGCCTCTGCTAACCTGGGGTTGGGTGCAAGGCATACATCCCTTCTTCTGGAGATGTGTGAGCCTGCCCTGAACTGCACTCCACAAACAAAGAACTTCATCCACACTTTCCAGTCTGTATCACTTCCATCAGGAGACAGGTGATGAGTGCCTGAGGACAAAGAAACACACAATCATCTACAAATATAAAGACAATACCACACTGTCTCGGATAAAACAATTCCAGTGTACATAAAGAGCAAAGAGTGCCACAAACAATTGACCAAAATATTATACCAGAAATGGTATCAGAACTACTTGACAAGGAATTTAAAAGAGTGCTGATTAGGTACCTTCACTGGATTGAGAGAATGATCGAAGAAATTGCAGGTGAAATCAAGGAAAACATGGAAAAAACTTTAGAAGAATTCAGGAAACAATCTGTCAAATAAATGAAAAATGGAACCCATACAAGGCAGCAATTAGAAAGCCAGTATTAATACTAATACTTCAAAAATAGAAAATACGTTTAAAGAGCAAAGAATTAGAACTGAATCAATGGAAGGCCAAATTACTTGAAGACAAGTCTAAATCACTCAATAGTCATCTGCTAGAGGAGCAATCAAAAAGAATTTTAAAAGTCTGAAGAAAATCTAAGATTTATATAGAACACTATTGTGATGATTAACTTACATGTGATTGGCATTCCAGAACATGAAGAGAGACATACACACATGCAAAAAAAAAAAAGAGAGAGAGAGAGCTCTTGCTGTTAACCCTCTAACCTGGTCTCGCCACTTCCCAACGTCGGGGGAGGTGCACGTAGCGCCAGTCTTGGTCGCTCCCTCAGCACCTCTTTAGCTTTTGTGGCCCCTTCACAATGGTACACATCCTGTTTGAGGATATTTTCGATGTGAAAGACATTGACCCAGAGGGCAAGAAGTTTGACTGCATGTCTGAAGTGCATTGTGATAGTGAATCGTTCAAGGTGGACCTCATCTTAGATGTAAAACATTCAGATTTACCCTGTGACAAGTTCCGGTTGCTTATAGCCAGTACCTTACATGAAGGTGGTACACTGGATGATGGTGAATACAACCCACAGATGACCGGCCTTCCAGGGTTGATCAATTTGAGTATGTAATGTACGGGAAAGTGTGTGGGATTGAGGGAGATGAAACTTCAACTAAAGCAGCAACACGCCTCTCTGCGTATGTATCCTATAGGGCTCTGCTCATGAGGTTTCAGGGTGATGCCAATAACCTGCATAGATTTGAGGTGGATTCCAGAATTTACCTGCTGATGAAGAAGCTGGCCTTCTGAACCACCTGGAAAGCCAACTTTGCAGTTTAGTCACTCAGGTCATAGACAGTTCTGGCCGAAACTCCTTTCTGACTTGTCCCATTGAGGGTTTCATCGTACATACAACTTCATTCAAGCTTGAGTTGCTGCTGTTCACCTGATACAGAGGAAGTGGCTTTCTCTCCACCACGAGTACACCACGACTGACTTGTCTTTGGGAAAGAAACCTAGTTGGAGAGCCTAAAATTAATTAGAAGTTGTTTTGTGCATATGATTTCTTAAATTAAACGTTACTTTCCAGGAAAAAAAAAAAAAAAGAATTGTCTAAGAAATGTTGGAAGAAAACTTCCCTAACATCATAAAAGAAGAAGATAGTCAAGAAATTGGACAAACTTTCTTTTTTGGATAGATCCCCAAATGGAAAATCGCCAAGAGTTATTGTAATCAAGCTTTTCAAAATCAAAGATAAGGAAAGAATCTTGAGAGCAGCTCAGAAAAAGCAAAATGTTACCTACAAAGGAGAACTACTAGATTAAATTCTGATTTCACCATGCATGCAAGAAGACACTGAGATGATACATACAAAACACTAAAAGAAACAAATTGCTAACCAAGAATCATATAACCAGAAAAATTGTCCATCAAACATGATAGTGAAATATGACATATTCAGATAAACAGAAATTAAAAGAATTTGTAAATACCAGAATAACTTTAGATAAAAAATACTAAAGAAAGTTCATTGAACAGAGACCCAATAACAGCAGACAATGGCCTGAGACTAACATACATGACATCATCCAGAACCCAACCCAGATACAGAAATATTCAAAGTAAAAGAAAACTACAAGATGAAAATAAGGAACCAGAGATACTAGTTTCAACCACGACAACAAAAAAATAAATAAAAAGAGGAAATAAGGTATGAAGAAGTCATACCTTATTGACATCTTCCAAATGAAGAAGTCAAGTAGATTTCAAGAAAAAAAAAACATAAATAAACCTAACTGTAACCCTAAAACTAGAGCAAGCCTTACTCCTATCCCTAGCCCAACTCCCAACACTCACTCTAGTCTTAACCATATCCTAAATGATGTCTGAGGCCTAACCTAGACCTAGCCATAGTCCTAAATGTGTTCATTTTTAAAGCCTTCTGAAATCTTGGCCATCTAGAAAACTAATTCCATGAGGATTCTGTGAAAACGTTTCCGAACTGACAGATTTTTGAGATGTGCTAGGAATGTGTCAATTTTTAAATTAGTGTTACTGTTGAGGTAGTATATAAACTTCACTTTTCAAATGTGAATGTGTCAAAGAAAGATCAGCAGGAAAAATCCAAAACAAAAATGGCAGTATGGTTGACTGCTACAAGAATAAACCAGCTGTTTGCCGGAAAGTCATCGAGGCTAGCAATCAAGTTTCTTCAGGACAAACCCCCCTCTAAGACTGAAACTCAAAGGGAACACATGAGCAGACATGTAAGCTTGCTGACAACCACATTGTTCTACTGGTTAGTGGAAGAGGGGGAAAGGCAGCAATGAAGAAATGGGCTGAGTTCAACCGTGTCCCATAGACTCCCATTGACCTGGAGATAAGAGAGAGAAGAGGAAGGGTTGGTTGGTTCAGGGTGTGGTGAGACCTGGGGACATCTGAGCCCATGGACAAGGACATAGCCACAGAGGGTTTAAACTGAGAGTGAAGCATCCAACTGATATGAAGTGAGGGGGATACATACAAGAACACCCAGACTTGCAGATAGTACCCATTTGACATAGACCCGATGGCTTGATAGTCAGAACTAGACTAGAGGAAGATTTTTTTTTTTTTTTGATAAAGGAAAACGAGGGTAAATTGCTACAATTTGATGAAGTTGCCCTATACTCATAGAATAGTAGCTCAAAATACCAACAGAGAGGGAAGGAGTCTTCACATCAAGTATCAGTGCTATCCCCTCTCTATATAAGGTAGATAGGGACGAGCAGCTTAGATATTGGCTACCTAAAATGAGGGGCCAATAAAGACACAAAGTTACTGGCTTACAAGGTTTCAAGAGAGAGTTTAGTTTAAGAGTTTGTGGAGGAAGATAAGAGTCCCCACTGAATAGTTTTCATCTTGTCTAGATGGATCTGGTTAAAAGAAATGGGGATATGATTCAACAGTGAGTAATTGTTATCATGACTAATTTGCGACTATCACAGTTGTAAAGGTAGAAATTTTGTAACAAAAAGGAGAGTAGTTAATCTCAATCCTGAAACAGAGGACCCTAGGACCATAAAGGGAGAAGAACACAAACGGAATGTGGGACCCTATCCAGAGAAGCAGCAACTCCAGAGATGGAGGCAGAGATGAGGACATGGAGAGAGGGAGAGGCTGAGGACTGTAGATTCGTGGAAAAAGAGGGACTGCGCGCTGGCAGCCAGGAGGCAGGCTTGCAGAATGTGCCCTTTGGTGGTTTAAATGATTATATGTGCCTGAGTGTTGAAAAAAAAAAAAAAAAAAAGATGTATTTCTCTCTTTTCTAAAATGAATAGAGAGAAATACTGTTAACTGATAGCGCATGGAGGGAATTATAATCATGGTAATGAGACAAAGTATATGATTTGTTGAGTGTAAAACTGATGGTCTGCCCTGTAAACTTTCACTCAATTCACAATGAAAACTTAAAAAAAAAAAAATTGTTCATGTGATCTTTTACGTATTGTAAGCTTAAATAACCAAAGTGTTATAAACAATATTATTTCTGGCTTAAGTTTATAATAGCTACTACTTTTTTATGTTTGTCTTATAGGTGGATCTGTGGCTCATTTGCTGAGTAAATATGGAGCCTTCAAGGAATCAGTAGTTATTAACTATACCGAACAATTACTTCGTGGCCTTTCGTATCTTCATGAAAACCAGATCATTCATAGAGATGTCAAAGGTAGGAATTCTTTTAGTTATTATATAAGAAGAAAGCAAATGTTGTTTTAAAATTTGGACTTGTGTTGGTGGTGTCTAACTTGAAATAAAATGTGGAATTATTCCTCCTAAGTCAAGAAATAGAAGAAAAGGCTACTGAATATACCAGCAAGACCGGGCCTTCACCAAGTCAAATAGAGAGTCCAGGGTTCCTGATTCCGTGACTTGTTCTCATGGTGATTGCCTCCCACAAAGATCATCACAGAAAAATGCTTTAAGAAAATAGTTTATAATCTTTTGCAATTTACATTTGTTTTTACTAAGAGCTGTCATGGATCTTTCTAGCTAGGGTTTAGCATAATGTATTCAATTAAATTTATTAATCAGGCGTTAATTATGAAATTATAGCATACAGTTTGAATTGGTCTAGGTCAGTATGTTTCAACATAACTTTGGCTAAAAATATAAACTATTCCCAGATTTGGGCTTTAATGAAAGATTTTGTTGGGAATCATTATATTGAAGGTTCCAGCACTTAACTTCTGAAGTTTCACTGATCTCTGCTTTTGTCTCCTTATGTTTTAGTACTTTGTTTTTCAGATTTTCCCTCTGAGGCTCTATGTTTGATTTATACTGTAGAGCCTGTGTTCCATTAGCAGTAAAGAAGTGAAGTAAAAAGGAGACTTTCTCTGAACCTCTGAACTATAGTGTATTTCTTTCTTTTGTAATCTCATTTCATTAGTAGTATTTCACTAAGCTTTAAGCTGTGCCTACTTTTGATATTAGATGCTCTGGTAGTATAGTGGTTATGAATCGGGCTACAAACCGCAAGGTCAGCAGTTCAAAACTACCAGCTGCCCCGCAGGAAAAAAATGATGAGGCGTTCTGCTCCCATAAAGATTTACAGCCTCGGAAAACCTGTGTAGGGTCACTATGAGTCAGAACTGACTCCACGGCACACAGCCACCACCACTTTTGATATTAACATACAACCTCATTTGCTGTTTTGTTGGCAGGTGCTAATTTACTAATTGACAGCACAGGGCAGAGGCTGAGGATCGCAGATTTCGGTGCTGCAGCCAGGTTGGCATCAAAAGGAACTGGTGCCGGAGAGTTTCAGGGACAGTTACTGGGAACCATTGCATTTATGGCACCTGAGGTAAGCAGTAGCTTTGAATTTGGTAGGAGAAAATATTTTAGAGTTCTGCATGACAGCATTATACCAAATTATCTTTGCATTGGTATTTATTATGTGCATATCAATTAGAAGTCTATGACCGCCAAAAATAATTTTTCAGGAATAGCTTTCCTTCTTTGTTTTGACAAAATTCAAAAAGGTAAAGATTTTTAATAAATTTACTTAAGTGCTATTTCAAATGAATAATTGTTAGCTAATCTAGAATAATTATAGTAAATGCAAAGTGCACATAAAAAATTAAAAGGTTATCTCTGTTCCAAAGAGGGATGGCCACATAGAAGCTGTTGTCTTCAGTAGGGGTTGAAGTTTCACTGAACATGGCTATTCAGAACTCGGCCTCTTTTGTGTTCATAGATTTTCATGTTCGTACTAGTGATCACTGTTGTCATCTTGCCTCCGAGTTTAACAAGAACAGTGGAGCTGCTTTGAAATTCAGCAATGTGACTGACCCTTCAGAATCTCAAAATTCTTCAGAATATCTTTGTGCCATGTAGAAAATAGGCTTATTAATGAAACAGAGCCACATTAGGTCGTCCTTATCATTGCTGAGGCAGTATCATTATTGTTTGTTACCCTCATTTTGCTCTGAATTAAAATACTAGATCCATACTACAAAATGGCTTTCTATTTTGTTTTGGTTTTACCGGGACAGCTTTCCAAATTAACACTGTTTTATTTTAGGTACTAAGAGGTCAGCAGTATGGTAGGAGCTGTGATGTGTGGAGTGTTGGTTGTGCTATTATAGAAATGGCTTGTGCTAAACCACCTTGGAATGCAGAAAAACACTCTAATCATCTTGCTTTGATATTTAAGGTAAGTATAAGACAAAGTATCCATCTAATGTGAAAGTCTATCTTTCTTGAAAAAACACATCTGTAGACGTCTCCAGGAATTTGTATGTGTAGTAGAAATGCCACTTTTGTGTATGTCTTTTTAATTTAAGCTTCAGATTTCTTCATTTGACTTTGTCTTTTTAAAACTTCAACTGTATATTTGATAAATAGAAGCTCTAAAAATCTGAAGTTCTTCATATGTTGTACATAATACCAAAAAAAAATTTTTAATTTGATTTACTATTTCCTATATTTCAAAAATTCACACCCACATCAGCTGCCAAATACTGTCTGTTCTTTTTAGACAGCTCTCAAGTTTCTTCTTTCCAGTGCTACGTTAGAATTTATGTAAGGTTGAGATGTTTAGCTTTTGAGTCACACATGTAATTAATACTTGGGTTTTGGAGTTTTTACAGGCTTGCTTTAAAATCCTGGCTCCACCCTTTATGGTCCTGTGATTATGGCAAAATTAAAGTCTCTACTGTCTGCTTTCTCATTTGTAAAATAATAGCACCTACTTCATGGGATTATTATGAGGAATAAACAAAACCAACCCTGGGCTTGAGTTTAACACTGAGCACACATAGTCCCTTCTCATTGTCTGTGTGCCGTGGAGTCGGTTCTGACTCATAGCGACCCTGTACAGGGTTTCCGAGGCTGTAAATCTTAACGGGAGCAGAACGCCTCATCTTTCTCCCGCGGAACAGCTGGTAGTTTTGAACTGCTGACCTTGCGGTTTGTAGCCCGATTCGTAACCACTATGCTACCAGAGCTCAGTGTCTAGCCACTAGTATTAGTCCTCTGAACTAGGCCCCAGGCCCTCTTACCTGCTGAGACCCCACCTCTCATCCCCCTCTGTTTCTTCCCACCTTGTACACCTTCCTCAGTCACTTCTCCAATCAATGCAGTTTTGTATAACCGCTCTCCTCCTCCACTCTGCCATGCTTCCCTGGCCCCATGAGGTTCCAATTCTGATGCTCATTCAGCCCACATCCAGTGTTCCTCCTCCTGCTGCTGCCTCCCCAGCCCCCACAGCCCTCAGGACGCACCTGCCTCTGCCCCTTCCCGTCTGCTGCTCTGATAGTGTATGTTCCTGCTATACCTCCTGAGCTTCCTTGAGGGCCTTTCATATCTGATTCATTTATGTTCCTTCTACAGTCTTGTGCAGAAGTTGCTCAATGAATAACTTGTGGATAGGATCAGTTTGAAAGTTTGATGTGATCTTCAGAGTTTAGTAGATAGAAAAAGAGCTTTTTCAAACCCTCCCTATTTGTAATGGTGTAAATTGCTGTAGCACTTTTTGAAGAGGCTTATTTGGCACTTTCCACCAAAACTTATATGTGCTTATTTTTGACCCAGCCATGCTCATTCTTAGAAATTTCTAGATTTACCTATAGAACATTGCCAAGTTCAGGGTTGAGTTATTCATTACATTCTTGCTTGTATTACCAAAACTGGGGACTAAAGTGTCGAATAATAAGAAAGTGATTAAAATATCCACACTATACAGAAATTAGGAGTAGTGTACATCTATTAGTGTTGATTTAGAAAGTACTCTAAGATACATTAATAAGTTGAAAAAACAAGGTGTTTATGGTTATCCGGTTTTAGTAAACATTTTATAAAGAAAATCTAAGTTGTGAATGCAGGCTGTCCGCAACTTATAATGTATTAATTTTTAACAAACTGCATGTATGACCTTCTTTTTTTTTTTTTTTAGGGGAGGTGGGTTTTTTGTATCTTACCTTTAGAAATAATTACTACATAGAGTTTTGCAGCATATAATTTGCTGATTTTGTCATTCTCAGATGTAATATTTCCAACCCCAAACAACAAATAAAGATCAGATTTATGAAGATAACTGGTAGTTAAAGACAATAATCATGAAAACATTTTTTTAAATGAGGTTTCAACTTAGAACAGAACTGTCTTACCACAAAGTAGTCATTGGAATGTAACCCCGACATAAGTAAGGGGCTACCTGTATATGCTGGAACCACCACCAGCCCCCTATCCTGTTTCCAGAAGGAAACACAAGAAATTGTTATCAGGGATTATTTGGGGGGGAAGAAAGAAGAGGTTTAATTTTTGCCTTGTATTTTTCCCTTTTTGTGGACATGTAAGATGTGTAAGTATCAGCTGAGTATACCTTGGTGTGTAGGATCATGGGCTTTTTCATCTTTCTCTTTATATTCCTTTGGAGTGGTAGTGTGGTGCTGTAGGATACACTACAAGGTCAAGTAGGAACTGACTTGACAGCACTTAACAACAGCTGCTGGTGTGGTGCTGTAGGATCTGCACTGGACTGCAAACCCCCAGGTCAACAGTTCAAGCTCACCAGCTGCTCCGCAGAGATACCATACAGGGTTGCTATGAGTTGGAACCGATTCGACAGCACTTAGCAAAAAAGCAAACAATACAGTCCTTTAATTTTTTTTTTTTTTTTTTAACACAAGGGATTCAGGAAATTACTGGGGTAGAGATAACAGAGCTTTCTTGTGATTAGGAAAGTGTGTAGGTGGGATTAGGTTATTTAGATTTATTAACTTGTTTCTAAAAAGTCAGTTCTTCCTAGTGTGTTTGATAGTAAGATTTAGTATGTACCCAACATTGAAGGAAAATAAGCAGTGCAGTTGTGTTGCTGGTGTGTTAAGTTGGTTAGCCAGGTTTAGTCCTATGAACAGCATTCTGAGATGACAAAAGAACAACATAGAAAACAAGCTGTGAAGCAAAGCCTACAAACCTAGAGAATGAATTTGCAGATAACAGTTCATCTGAGTGAATACACTCTGCCTGGTAATTCTGATGTCTGGTTCGTTTGTGACAATAAGGAAAAGGGTAGCTCCATCCAAGCAGTATGCATTTAATCAAATTCTAAAATTTAAAGAATTCCTAGAGGAAACCTCCTATCGAGTGAGAGCCTTTTTCCATCGACTCCCTGATAACAGAAAATGAGTCTGTTTCTGCTTTAAGTCCTCTATGGAGATCAGGATGTATTGCGGGGGGCAGGGACTCCAAAAAGTTCATGGAAGAATGGAATGAAAAAATAGTGGAATTTTGCCCTGAACTTTTTGAAGCTCCCTGTATATGTACATTACAGGTTGTAAAGTAGATTCATGTGTACTTCTAATGTCAGACTTTTCAACTGTGGAAAGCTGTAAAGCTCTGTTATTTCTTCTACAGATTGCTAGTGCGACTACTGCTCCCTCAATCCCTTCACATCTGTCTCCTGGTTTACGAGACGTGGCTCTTCGTTGTTTAGAACTTCAACCTCAGGACAGACCTCCATCAAGAGAGCTACTGAAGCATCCAGTCTTCCGTACTACGTGGTAGCCCGTTACACAAATAAACTATAATGGAGACAGGATGCTCAACAAGAGAATAAAAACTTTTGTGGGGAACCACATGGTAATCTGTTGGCCTTCATGCCACTGAAAAGCTATGAACAAGGCCAGCGGGGAACCCTTACCTAAGTATGTGATTGACAAATCATCATCTGTACCTAAGCTCAGTATGCAAAAGTCCACAACTTGTGCAGAAACTGTCAACCGTGCCTTTCAAAGAACTGGCCCTGATGAACAGGAAGCAGAAAAGTTTGCATGAATAGATAACAGAAGCGTAATTTTATTTTTTAATTTTTGGGAGCACTTTTTCAGCAATATTAGCAGCTGAGGGGCTCAGGATCTATTTTAATGTTTCAGTTACTCTTCCATTTCATATCATGATCAAGAGCAGGGGATTCTGCAGTTCCGTTTTTTTGTTTTGGTTTGGTTTTTTGTCATTGGCTATAAAAATCAGTACATGACTCTTTTAAGTCAAAGTATGCTGTGTGTTACAGTAACTATGTTTTTAAAAGTTGATAACTTCTCTAGGACCCATAGTTGACCTTTTATGATTTTTTTTTTTTTTAATGTCTGCGCAGTTGTGGTTCATTGTGCATTTTACTGTTGGCCCAGTCATTTCTTTTTTAGAAATTATGGTTCTGTATTTTCATTACGCCTTCATTTATGTTTAATATTCAGGGAAAGATGGTCTTTTCAAATCATAAAAAAAAAATATATAGAACTAGGTATGAACTAGAGTTCATTAAATATCTTGCTATTGCAAGAATTTTTTTTACATACAGGTTTGCTTTTTAAATTGGAATACAATAAAATACTACCTTCATTGTGTCAGTCACTGCTCTTACTGTGCAGGTTAAATAGAAAGTTAGTGAAAATCAACTGTTGTCTGTGATGCAGCTTGCAACCAAGATCAAGATTACTATGAATCTGTTTGAACTTTTTAAATGTTTCCGTTTCTTTTGTCAAAGTGTAGGAAACTTCACCCCCTAAGACAGGTGTAAGTCTTACTCTGTATTAACAATCCGTCCTTCACTATCACTGCTGATAGCATGTACCTGCTGTTTTCCTTCTGCCACGCATTGTCTCTGCAGTAGGCCTGGCTGATAGATTTAAATAAAAGGAAAATAAATTACTCAACTACCAATGAGGAATGGTATCTTTAAACAAAAATCTTGTTTGAGTTTAGACCGTGTTCAGAAAGATAAGGGAATTTGAATTTCATTTACACACTATTTCCTTGGATTTTGCACAATTATATAATGATTTTAGTCTGGAGCTGAATTCAGATGCATGGAATCCTGAAGGAAAATGGCAGCTCTTTTATCCTTTGTGTGTGTGTGTGTGTGTGTGTGTGTGTGTGAGTCTTTTAATTTTAAATCAAGTACTGATTAAGTATTTAATACAAGTTTTTAAAATATTAAGTTTTAACTCTTCAGAAGCCAGTTGAATTATTGCAGAGTGAAATAGAATTGGTTATACTCAAAGACTCAGGATAAACTAAATAAGCTATATATAGAGTACATTTAAAATGTACAACACAAATTGGAAGTAAAATAAGTGACAAGATAAGTTTACAGGGATATATTACATATAATTTTTTTAAAGGCAGTTTTTGTTGTTGGTTTTGTGTTTTGTTTTGTTTTTTTAATGTGAATGTAGTGAAATTTTACATTCCTTTGTTTTGAAAGATTGGCAATATTTGAAGAGTTAAAAGAAAAGTAGTACCGAAATGTGAAGTTTGGTAGCTCTAAATGTGTTATGACTTGACTTTTCTTTCTTTTTTTTTTTCTTGACTACTTAGAATTTTCACAATTCTAATAAAATTGTTCCTAAGTCTCTCGTGTGCAAGCTTTAAGGATGCACTCTTGCCATTGTGTGTACTGGAAGACCATTTGCCAGGTGACCACTGCGCCTGACAGAAACGTAAACTGTATAAACTGAGGAACCTCAGCTAATCAGTATTACTTTGTACATCACCATGCTCACCACATTTCAAACTCAGACTGCCTCTGGATGTCAAGATTCATTGTGTTTGAGTTTGCCATTCCCTCAGCTTGCTGGTTTTGTGGTGTTTTGTTTTTGTTTTGTTTTGTTTTGTTTTGTTATTTCAATGCAAATGTGATGTAATATTCTTATTTTCTTTGGATCAAAGCTGGACTGAAAATTGTATTGTGTAATTATTTTTATGTTCTTAATGTTATTGGTACTCAAATTGTAAATAACGTCTACTGCTGTTTATTCCAATTTCTACTACCTCAGGTGTCCTATAGTTTTTTCTTCTACCAAAGTTCACTTTCACAATGAAATTATATTTGCTGTGTGACTATGATTCCTAAGACTTCCAGGGCTTAAGGGCTAACTTCTCTTAGCACCTTACTATGTAAGCAAATATTACAAAAAAAAAAAAAAAAATCTCTGGGTTAAGAAAATTTGGCTTAAATGTATCCTTTGTTATTTTAAATATATCAAGATATTTTAATTAAAATTTTTACCCCATTGAACCAATTTTATAGTATTTGTACCTATTTTGGTGTTTTGTCTTTATAGTAAATAAAAGTTTTTGAACAAAGGTGACTTGTTACTTTTATTTATTTTGAACTAATTTCAAACTTACAGCTTACTCATCTGTTGCTCATTGCTCATGGTTCCTGTTCAATCCAGAATTGCTCCTCAATTCTTCCTTGACCTTCCTAACCTTCACATTTTTAAGATTACAGGTTATTGTTATATAGATATCCCTAAATGTGTTTCTGATTATGTCCTTGTGGTTAGAGTCAGAGGATGCATCTTGGGCAGGAATAGCACAGAGTCAATGACAACATGTCTTCTGGAGGCATCATAACCAGGAGACCCACGAGTTCGGTTTGTCCCACTGCTTTTTGAGTAGGCCACTCCACGGTAAAGTTAGGCTTTTTCCCTTTATGATTAATGTTCAGTACTGTGGAGTTGGTTCCAACTCATAGTGACTCACCCTGCACAGGGTTTCCGAGGCTGTAAATCTTTATGGGAGCAGAACGCCTCATCTTTCTCCCACGGAACTGCTGATAGTTTCGAACTGTTGACATTGCGGTTCACAGCCCAATTCGTAACCACTATGCTACCAGAACTCCTTATCGTTAATAGTCACACCTATAGTAAATATTTTGTCGAATAATACTTTGAGGTTATGTAAGTCCCTGGTTTCTCACTCAGCCTTAGCTCTCAGCTTTCTTGCCCTCAATTATTACAATGGTGGCTACTAAAGGATGATTTCCTACTTACCCATTCCTTCTACCTGCTATTGTCATCATACTATAAGGAAAATGGATTTCTATTTTATTCAATGAGGTAAAACCTGTTGTCAACATCACCTATTTGCTCAGTTTATGAATAGCAGTGGAACATTATCAGATATCGTACCTAAAGGTGAAAGCATTGTGAATAGCAGGATATTGTCAGATAATAACTGCCAACATGAGCCCCTCAGATCGAAGGGTGCTCAAGATACAGCTGAGGAAGAGCTGCCTCCTCAAAGTAGATTTGCCCACGATGGCATGACTGGAATAAAGCTTTCAGAATCTTCATTTGCTGATGGGGCACAACTCAAAATGAGAAAAAGCTGCAAACTTTCATTAATAATAGAAACATGGAATGCATAAAGATCAGTATCATAAGCATTAGTGAACTAAGATGGATAGGTATTGACCATTTTGAATCAGACAATCATGGTTTACTATGCTGGGAATGACAAATTCAAGAGGAATGGAGCATTCATCAAAAAAGCCATTTCAATATCTGTCTTGAAGTACAACACTGTGATACAATAGCTATACACCTACAAGGAAGACCAGTTAATACCACTATTCAAATTTACACACCAACCATCAAAGCCAGTGATGATGAAATTGAATTTTATCAACTTCATTGTGAAATTGATCAAACATGCAATAAAGATGTAATAATAGTCCAGTCCGGTTTCTGTGGCAGTAAAGGAAGTCAGGTAGGGAAATCTCTATGCTAGAGAGGGACTGAGATCTCACACAAGAAGCGCTCACAGAACAATTCCAGAGCTCCAAATCTACCATAAGGTCCAGTTTCCCATACTCATAAGTGGGAAAATCACGATATTAATGAAAATACTGCGAGTTAGGAATTGGGAGATGGGGACGCCCTCTGTGGCTACACTGGCAGGGTTTAGAGGGCCAGGCTACAGCCATTCTGGCTCAGTGAACCTGCTCTAAAAAACGGTGCAGAGACACTTGTATAAAGAGGCGCAGGAGACGCTACACATTTCTCCTGCATCTTCCCTGGAGCGCCTTCTTCACTCAGCCAGGATGCCATCAGGCAGGTGGCTGTGCACCCCAAAAAATCAGCTCTGACCCCGCAGTTCCCCCATATTGGAGAGAGGGAGCTTGGTGGCCACTAATGACATCAGCGCACAACCCTAAGATTCATTTGAGCTAGACCCTTGGTGGCTGCGTGCCTTGGAGTCGGTTCCAAGACTCCAGGCTACCCTATGCAGGGTTTCCAGGGCTGTGGGTCTTTGTGGGAGCGGAGCGCCTTGCCTTTATTCTGCGTAGCGGCTGCTGGTTTCAAGCTGCTGACCTTGCGGTTCATGGCCCTGTTTGTGGCCACTGGGCTGTGTATGCAGGACCCTTATAATACAATCTGTAAAACTCCAACATAAAGGACTCAACCATCTCGAGAATTGCGCTGTGTACACACAGACACCTAACTGACCTTCAGAGACAAAAATAGTGGACAATCTTTCTCCCATTAACTTCTCAATATCTACCTGCGCACCTCTACTGTAGTGACTAGAGGAGGGCCTGAGCGAGCGGACACCCTCATCTGCTGCTGGAGGCGTCTACCTTGCACACACACTGACTGTAGCTCGGGACAGTCGACCACAGCTTCATTTCTGTTCCAAACTGGTGGTAATTGTCTCTGCATTTATATTATTTCTGCTTTTGGTCCATTTGATCACATATCTTTGCTGGAGACGGGAGG